TGAGCTCACTTGTAGTCGTAAGTCGAGCACTACCCGTAAAGTTTTTTTCTCAGCCGTGGCAACTTTACAATATGTGGATTTCAACCGGCTGGGCTGGGGAATTCTGGGAGTTGAAGTCCACACATCTCAAAGTTTCCCAAGGTTGAGGAACACTGCTTCAAAGGATGGATCCACACTGATTTTCAGAGGATATCCTGGAAAAGTAACACATTTCCCAGAAAGGAGAGGGGGGGAAAAACGGTGCATAGTTAGTGCACAGTACTGTACATTGTGAAAAAATCAGGGTTTGGGGGAAAAAAATGCAGCCTTTTCTTACATTCTGCAACGCAAACCAGAATATGACAAATGCTTCCTGATATAAGAGCGTGTAACGTTTCCCTATTTTGTGCATTATGTTCATTTCACATCAAGACAAAGAGCCTTGCAACGTCCTCCCCCTGGAGTTTGTGTTAGAATCAAGGCTTGCACCTCCACGGCGCCGTGTGCCACGGCATCCTTCTGCATTTGAGCATTTTGGTGCTCCGGGGATTTTTCACGATCCAGCCCAAAGCAATAAAGACGAGATGTGACAAACTCATTCATCATCCTGACTTGGAAGAAAAGTTTACATTTTTTAAAACCTGATTATGCATCTGAAAAGAGGTTGCGTGTTTGGGCCGGCGTACATATCGATGCATTTGATTCTATTATATATAATATATATTTGATTATGTTTGAGGCGTGATATATCTCACTTATCAGATGATAAATGGCCACGAAATTGACCCGCCAACCTTAACAGAAATGAAGGCAGGCACGGCTATTCTTCAATTATTATTATTTTTTTCTCCTCCTGAAACAGATGGAGTGACTTTAAAATATTAAACAGCCGCTCCCGGCATTCAAGATTGAGAGAATCCGAAACAATGGCCTATCTGGAGAGCAGATAACTGCCAGTTGACCAAAGAGCTAACTATAAAATTATATTTCAGAAGCCAATCCATGCATGATAATACATTGGCTTTGTTTGAAGTGATGATGGTTAGGAAATAAATAAATGAATTAGAACATGTGATGCTGTAGCTAAACACAGGGAGTCCTCGGCTTAACAACCCTTTGTTTAGTGACCGTTCAGTTACAATGATACGGAAAAAAGTGATTTACAACCAGGTTTCGCACTTACAAAATTTGCAGCATCCCCATGATCAAAATTCAGGTGTTTGACAACTGGCGTGCATTTATGATGATTGTCCTGTCCTGGGGTCAAGTGGCCATCCTTCCAAGTAGCAAAATTTATGTGGAGAAGCCGGATTCACTTAACAACCGCATGATTTACTTCACAACTTTTGTGATTCGCTTAACAACTGTAGCAGAAAAAGCCATAAGATGGGGCACAGCTCCCTTAAGAACTGTCTCACTTGCTTAGCCACAGAAATTTGGGGTCCATTGTGGTTGTAATTTGAGGACTACCTGTAACCTTAATTCCAAATATTTAAAATCATATACTACTAACCTCACCAGCAGTTATTGTAGGGTTTTATACTGTAGGCCCTAGATTGGGGATTATATTGTCAGGCCTAGATTGGGGGTTATTTTGTAATCCCTAGATTGGGGATCATATTGTAGGCCCTAGATTGGGGATTATATTGTCGGGCCTTGATTGGGGATTATATTGTAGGGCCTAGATTGGGAATTATATCGACGGGCCTAGATTGAGGATTATATTGTAGGCCCTAGATTGGGGATTGTATTGTTGGGCCTAGATTGGGGATTATATTGTAAACCCTAGATTGGGGATTATATTGTAGATCCTAGATTGGGATTATATTGTAGGCCCTAGATTGGGGATTATATCGACGGGCCTAGATTGGGGATTATATTGTAGGGCCTAGATTGGGGATTATATCGACGGGTCTAGATTGAGGATTATATTGTAGGCCCTAGATTGGGGATTATATTGTTGGGCCTAGATTGGGGATCATATTGTAGACTCTAGATTGAGGATTATATTGTAGGGCCTAGATTGGGGATTATATTGTAAACCCTAGATTGCGGATTATATTGTAGGGCCTAGATTGGGGAATATATTGTAGAGTCTAGATTGGGGAATATATTGTAGGGTCTAGATTGGGGAATATATTGTAGGGCCTAGATTATGGATTATATTCTAGGGCCTAGATTGGGGAATATATTGTAGGGCCTAGATTGGGGATTATATTGATGGGCCTAGATTGGGGATTTGATTTATATTGTAAAGCCTAAATTGGGGATTTGGTTTCCTGAGTGCCTTTGAGGAGAATGTCTGCTGTAGAAGAAAAAGAAATTGGTTTGTTGCAGAATATGGAAGTGAAGTCTGGATTTCTTTTCTTTTTTTTTCAGTGAAAAGCAGCCTCACAGGCTTTTTTTTTTTGAGGAGAAAGACCCCCCAAATATAGATATTCCTCAATTTACGACCACAATCATGAGGAGAAACCCAGTTGTAAATTCATTGCGTTTGTTACTCTAGGTGCCCACGTGACCGGACATGTTTGTCGACCTTTTTCCAAAGCGGTCATTAAGCGGATCACCGTGATTATTAAAGCAACGGCGTGGCAGCGAAACAAATCCATTCTTCCCAATTGCTATTCTTTGCCAGAAATCGCCCCCCAAAAGCCTAAAAAATTGCAATTACGTGACTGGACGGCGGAAATGGCTGCTACGCATTATATTTTGACAGGTCACTTTGGCGGCTCTCCTGGGAAAGGAAGGTTTATTTAATTATAAAGGGGGGGTTACTCTGGTTCTTCATCGTAAAATCGATCCCTCCCAATAATATCGACTTATGCGGGATGAGTCACTATAGGAAGACGGCCTCGTCTCCTTTATATTTCTCAGTGTATTTCTGCACCGGAGGTTTAGATGGGCCGCAGGTGAATCAGGCTGGGAGACGTGCCTCCCATCGCACGCCGAGAATCGATAGTTATTTTCTAACAAATGTATATATTTTTTTTACCCCGTTTCCTATTGAGTTTCTGTTGTGTGTACTTTAATTTATAGGGAGCGGAATTGTGGCTCAGACTTTTTCTGAGGGGCTTAATTGTGAGAGGGGGTTATCTGTAATTACAGCCTGGTGTTTTGTTTTTGTTTTTTTTAAACACCAAACAAACTTAAGAGGTCAGCTCTCAGTTGCTTCTCCGTACATCTGGAAAATTTTAGGGAAAATGAAAAGGGCTCTGCGGAGGAGATGCCACGTCTGGCTCTGCGTGAGGAGGCGTCCGTTCTGCATGGACAATCAAGTTGGCTTATTTGGCTGTTCTGCATGGACAACCAAGTTGGCTTATTTGGCCGTTCTGCACGGACAACCAAGTTGGCTTATTTGGCCGTTCAAGGCCAAACAGAACAAAGTACACTTGATTGGTTCTTCTTCCTCCTCCTCCTTCCCTCCTCCTCTTCTCACTCTCTTTGTCCTCCTCCACTCCTTCCTCCTCATCCCCCTCCTCCTTCTTGCTACCTTCTTCCTCCTCCTTCTTCTTCTCCTTTCTCCTGCCACCCTCTTCCTCCCCTCCTTCCTCCTCCTCCCCCTCCTCCTCTTCCTCCTCCTGCCACCCTTTTCCTCTTCCTTCTCCCATCCTCTTTCTCCTCCTCCTTCCTTCTCCTCCTCCTCCTCCTTTCTCCTTCTCTTCCTCCTGCCACCCTCTTCCTCCCTTCCTATTCTTCCTCCTCCTGCCACTCTCTTCCTCCTCCTCCCACCCTCTTTCTCCTCCTCCTCCTCCTTTCTCCTTCCTCCTGCCACCTTCTTCCTCTTCCTCACCTCCTCCCTATTTATTTATTTATTTATTTATTTATTTATGAGACTTATATACCGCTTTAAGTGCAAGCACTCTCTAAGCGGTGTACACCAGTAAGCAATGTCTATATATATTTACATTGCCCCCAACAATCTGGGTCCTCATTTTACCTACCCCGGAAGGATGGAAGGCTGAGTCAACCTTGAGCCGGTGAGATTTGAACCGCTGACCTGCTGAACACAGTCAGCTAAAGTGGCCTGCAATACTGCACTCTAACTGCTGCGCCACCTCGGCTCATATTCCCCCTCCTCTTCCTCCTCCTGCCACCCTTTTCCTCTTCCTCCCCTCCCTCCTCCTCCTCTTCCTCCTCCTGCCACCCTCTTCCTCCTCCTCTTCCTTTTCCTTCCAAACCCCACTCCCTTGTAGTACTGGTGATGTTACCTTGTTGGGTTATGAAATGTCTACAAGAAAACAACCAAGTTCAAAGAGTGCCAAGGACCTCACAGTCCTCCTCTCCCCCTCCTCTTCCTTCTCCTGCCACCTTCTTCCTCCCCACTTCCTCCTCTTCCTCCCCCTCCCCTCCCCCTCCTCCTCCACTCCAAACGCCACTCCCTTCCAGTACTGATGATGTTACCTTGTTGGGTCATGAAATGTCTACAAGAAAACAACCAAGCTCAGAGAGTACCAAGGACCCCACAGTCGTCGTCGTCGTCGTCGTCCTCCTCCTCCTCCTCCTCCTCCTCCAAATATCTTCAATTTTCTTAGAATATTTAAAAGTTGGCCATCCACAGCTTAGTTGCGTTGCTTCAAATTGTGTTTGATTGTCAAAATTTACCCCCCCCCCCGGTAAATTGGAGATGGGAAGATAGGCTGATCTCACCACGTAGTAGACTTTTCTAAAAACCACTCATATGTCCCCCAAATTCCATGAAGATCTACCTGGGCAACACAACTCCCACCTGTCCTTCTACTGGCTAAAATTCACTAGGACCCAAATGAAAGTAGGTTAAGCCAAGTTTACTTGTGTGAGATTGTCCTGGGTTTTTTTTTTTTTTTTTGCCTTGGAGAAGAATCCTAAGTAAGCTTGTAATCTGGCCAGGTTACAGGGGGATTTGTAGACTTGGCAATACACCAGATTAACCCATTTATTTATGCATATCCCGCAAAGGAGCTTTTTTAAAAAAAAAAAACAAACGAAATCTGAAATTGCCTGCAAATCAGCCGTTTCTAATGTATTTTTTTCATCCTTTTAAGGAGACCCTGACGACAATTTAATCGAAGGTGGTAGGACAAAGTTTGTCTGCAAACCAGGAGCTCGGAACATCACGGTCATCTTCCATCCGCTTCTGAGGTACCCACTCGGCTTCCTTTCTCCCATAGAGAGAGACAGACAATGTAGGCGTGTATGTATAGACAGACAGACAGGTAATGGATGGATGGATGGATAGATAAATAGAAAGATAGATAGATAAATAGATAGAGAGAGATAGAGAGATAAATATAGACAGACAGGTAATGGATGGATAGATAGATAGATAGATAGATAGATAGATAGATAGATAGATAGATATAGATAGACAGACACAGACAATGATAGATAGAGATAGATAGATAGATAGATAGTGTGTGTGAGAGAGAGAAAGAGAGATAGATATAGAGATAGAGAGAGAGTGAGAGAGATATATATAGATAGAAAGATAGATATAGATAGATAAATAGATAGATAGATAGATAGAGATAGGTAGATAGATAAAGATAGATAGAGATGGTTAGATAGATAGACAGACACAGAGAGAAAGAAAGATGAAGAGAAATAGAGATAGATAGTAAGAGGATAGATAGATAGATATAGATTAGATAGATAGATAGTGTGAGAAATAGAGATAGTGTGATATATATATATATATATATATATATATAGAGAGAGAGAGAGAGAGAGAGAGAGAGAGAGAAAGATGAGAGATAGAGATAGATAGTAAGAGAGGATAGATGGTTAGAGAGGATAGATAGATAGATATAGATTAGATAGATAGAGAGATAGAGAGATGATAGATAAATAGATAGATAGATAGATAGATAGATAGATAGATAGATAGAGATATAGATAGATATAAATATAGATATAAAATACGCCATTATAATATAAATGTATAAATATAACATTTTTTTCTGGGCTTGTCTGGATGTTCCTTTTCTTTTTGGTGTATCTATGGGCTGTGTATTGCAAAACCATGTAGTTTGACGTTGTATCCTTCAGTATCTCAAACCCTTTTGTTCCATTCAAAAGTGAGACAATATCAAGTGGTTAGCCCTCGTGGTTGCCTACACGGGCTTCAGGATATGGGGACATTTGCAGAAAAGTCAGAAGGCAAGAGGTTCCCTAGTTTCTTTTATGCCTTCTTCAGTAGCCATTTGCCCAGATTTGAATGTTTTGCTTTAGCTTACAGCACTTAATTTCATATTGTCGGTGTGTGTGTGTGTGTGTGTGCGTGAGTGTGTTTGTGCTTCAGAAGGTGTGTCTTTCTCTTTTATCAATTTATTTTGACGATGGTCATGATGACCATCGAAGAACATCTGCCTATCCCAGGTCCTTGCGAAAGACTTGATAGTTGTATAAAAATGCCAGTTCAGTGCTCCATCCGTGGAGGTTTTCAAGAAAACATTGGACAGCCATTTGTCTGAAATAATCACTTAAATGTGAGCCAGCCGTGTGCTGAAGCTGCCAAAAAAGCCAACACAGTACTAGGCTGCATTAACAGAGGGATAGAATCAAGATCATGTGAAGTATTAATACCACTCTTCAATGCCTTGGTAAGGCCACACTTGGAAATTTGCATCCAGTTTTGGTCACCAGGATGTAAAAAAGATGCTGAGACTCTAGAAAGAGTGCAGAGAAGAGCAACAAAGATGATCAGGGGACTGGAGGCTAAAACATATAAGGAACGGTTGCTAGAATTGGGTATGTCTAGTTCGGGGGTAGGCAACCTTGGCTCTTTTATGACTCATGGACTTCAACTCCCAGAATTCCTGAACCAGCCATGCTGAGGAGAAAGGGAGAGGTTTCCAATCTGAGCCATGCTGGCTCAAGAATTCTGGGAGTTGAAGTCCACGAGTCATAAAAGAGCCAAGGTTGCCTACCCCTGGTCTAGTTTAACGAAGAGAAGGACGAGGGGGGACAGGATAGCAGTGTTCCAATATCTCAGGGGTTGCCCTATAAAAGAGGGAGTCAAGATCTTCTCCAAAGCGCCGGAAGGCAGGACAAGAAGCAACAGATGGAAACTAGTCAAGGAGAGAAGCAACCTGGAACTAAGGAGAAACTTCCTGACAGTTAGAAAATTAACCAGTGGAACAACCTGCCTCCAGAAGCGGTGAATGCTCCAACACTGGAAGTTTTTAAGAAGAGACTGGACAGCCTTTTGTCCGAAGTGGTGTAGGGTTTCCTGTCTGAGCAAGGGGTTGGACTCAATGACCTCCAAGGTCCCTTCCAACTTTATTATTAGTATTATAGGGCAGTGGTGGTGAACCTATGGTACGCGTGCCAGAGGCGGCACTCAGAGTCCTCTCCGTGGGCGGGCACGCCTTTCCCCGGAGATGGCAACCGTCTCTCTTCAGCCAGCTGTCCGCTAACTCACCGAGGTCCCACGTGGCCAGATGCACCCCAGCATGGCTGGTTTCCCTCCCGCCCGTCCCATCCCTCCTGGCCTTGCATGCTCTCCTTTTCCCGGGCACAACCCATTGCATCGCCTCCTCAGCTGTCAGCCGGCTATCCGTCCAACTCAGAGGCGGCTTCTCTGAACTGCTGGCGACGGGCTGTAGAGCCCCAGAGTGCGCCGGTCGAGGGGCCGGCAGGCTGTGGCTGCTGACGGACACTGTCGGCCCCCATGCGCTCGCTGGGCTCTGTGTGTGGGGGCCGATGGTGTCGGGCAGCAGCCGTCCTGGCCCCTGCCTCGCCTTGCCCTGCGACAATGGCACCCGTGCCATGCCTTGCCTTGCCTCACCCCGCAGGACGAGCCTCCTGCCCGCTGCCCCACCTGCCAGAGACCCCCTGGATCTCCCCCAACCCTGTCCGGCCCCCACAAGAGCAACATCGAGGTGACCACGCCCACCTTGGCCACACCCACCTATTCTGCTATGACCACCACAGCCACGCCCACCCAGCGGGCCACGCCCACTTGGCACCCGGCGATAAATAAGTGGGTTTTGGGTGGCAGTTTGGGCACTCGGTCTCTAAAAGGTTCGCCATCTCTGGTATAGGGTTTCCTGCTTGAGCAGGGGGCTGGACTAGAAGACCTCCAAGGTCCCCTTGCAATTCTGTTACTGGGCTCATCTATCCTCACGTCTCTTTCCTTCGAACTCGATTGCAAAAGCCGTCCCTTCCTTCCTTTCGGTTGCATTCTTGCTGCTTCGGGTTGCCTTTCTCAGCCCCCTTTGGCTGCAAACAATAGCAATTTATTATTGATCAGGAGTGGAGAAAAAGTTTGGTGGTGGCTGGTAGCAAATGGTTTATCATTTGCTGCCAGTTATGATTAATAAGCAGCCCAGCCGGAACGCCGCAGCTCCGGCTGCAAGCTAAGCCGATTTCCTGATAAACAGGTTTGGGCTTTACAAGCCCGCAAATGAAGCCTCTTCTGTCTTCCCGAGCAGAATGTCAATGATTAAAAGACATTGGGAATTCTTAGCTGGAAACCCATCAGGGGCTGCTAGGCCTCGCAAATTCCTTAGCTGAGGGAGATGGGAGATGGGGAACTTAATAGAGCACCGTTTGGGTTTAATCTGGAGAGACTCGAACACTGGGCGCTACCTAACAAAATGAAATTCAGTGGTGAAAAAAGGAAGGTTCTACATTTAGGCAAGAAAAACCAAATGTACAGGTATAGTATAGGGGGTACCTTGCTCAATAGTAGCAACTGTGAGAGGGATCTCGGAGTCCTAGTGGACAATCCCTTTGATATGAGCCAGCCGTGTGCTGCAGTTGCCAAAAAAGCCAACACAGTGCTAGGCTGCATTAACAGAGGGATAGAATCAAGATCAGGTGAAGTGTTAATACCACTTTACAAGGCCTTGGTAAGATTGCCTACCCCTGGTTTAGGAGACTCACCGCTTAGAACAGGAGGACTTAGGACAGGGGTAGGCAACCTGGGCTCTTTTATGACTGGTGGACTTCAACTCCCAGAATTCCTGAGCCAGCCATGCTGAGGGGAAAGGGAGAGGTTTCCAAGCTGAACCAGGCTGGCTCAGGAATTCTGGGAGTCGAAGTCCACGAGTCCTAAAAGAGCCAAGGTTGCCTACCCCTGTCCTCTGTTCTAAGCGGTGAGCCTCCTAGACAAAGGGTAGGCAACCTTGGCTCTTTTATGACTCGTGGACTTCAACTCCCAGAATCCCTTCTAGCACTGATAATGTTACCTAGTTTGGTCGTGAAACGTCTGCAAGAAAACCACCAAGCTCAGAGAGCACCAGGGACCCCACAATCCTTCCTCCTCCTCCTCCTCCTCCTCCTCCTCCTCTTCCTCCTCCTCCTCCTCCTCCTCCTCTCTGCAAACCCCACTCCCTTCTAGCACTGATGGTGTTCCCTACATGGGTCATGAAACGTCTGCAAGAAAACCACCAAGCTCAGAGAGCATCAAGAACCCCACAGTCTTCTTCCTCCTCCTCCTCCTCCTCCTCCTCCTCCTCCTCTTCCTCCTCCTCTTTTTCCTCCTCTCCACAAACCCCACTCCCTTCTAACACTGATGATGTTCCCTAGTTTGGCCATGAAACATCTACAAGAAAAGAACCAAGTTCAGAGACCACCAAGGACCCCACAGTCATACTCCTCCTCCTCTTCCTCCTCCTCCCCCCCATTTCCTCACCTTTAAAAAGGAAAAAAAAACCTTATTGATTTGGGGACCCGTGGCGAAAAGAAAAACCGAATGACAAGCCATCAAGTTTGGATTCTTCCCGTCAGCGACGGTCTCTCCGCTAACGGCGTCGTTGTCTACAAAAACTCTCTCCGTCTTTCGAGTGCATTTCATAAAGTTGTCAGCCGCCCTGTTGTGACAGGGAAGGCCATCCTCCTTGGAAAGTGGAAGGGGGGGGGAGAGAGAAAAAAAGATCTCTTTCTCCAAAGTGACCGTTTTGCTGCGCCGTGTGGTTCTGCCTGTTCATCTCCGGCGTTCCTGTCAGCTTGTCACAGGCGATCAGATCTTATCTCTGCAGCTGACATTCAAAAAGCACACAAGGCATAATGAAAAGTCCCGGGTGCTTTTTTTATTTTATTTTCTTTTTCCCTCCTCTTTCTTCTTTTTTCTTTTTTTTTCTTTCTTTTTTTGCTACTTTCTTTTCCCACTTTCCCCACCGATGCGACTCGAATAG